GTTATCTTAATTTTTTTTAAATATATATATATATATATATATATATATATGTGTGTGTGTGTGTGTGTGTGTGTGTGTGTGTGTGTGTGTGTGTCGGGGTCGAGTTGAGTGTTGTTGTGGTTAAAATGTTATATTTTTATAGCGGAAGAATTCCCAGTATTGGATATAGAGCCTTTACAGATATAGCTAATATGGACATAGGAATCAACACTACATGGTGATTCTCATTTTAAAGCTTTCCCGCGATCTTAAGACCTTGGCATATATTCTCCCTGGTCACTTCAAAAATAATCCGGTTTGTTTTCATTTGTAAACATTGCAAACGATTCAGTTTTAAAATGCCAAATTTGCCAAAAAAAAAAAAAAATGTAACCGTTTTAATATTCGTAGAAATTTAGGATTGGTACAAAGAGAAACAAAGAAAACTGTGAGGAACTGCTGTGTCATATCTAATATATTCTATATAGCAGTGAATGCTGGATATTTTCTTCACGGATGAAGCCAGAAATATGTTATGGTTGTTAACAAAAGAGGAGAAAGAATGAGATGATAAATAATAGAGAGAGAGTGTGAAAGGTAGAAGAAAGAGAGTTGAAGTAAACAAAGAAAATTAGAAAATAAAGAATGAAAGAAATTAAAGAGAATGAGATGAGAGAGAAAGAAAGTATGATGCGGGAAACGCTCAAACCATGAAAGAAAAAGTAAAGAGAGATTAAATGTAGGAAGGAAAAAGTCGAAAAATAAAGCGAGTGAATGAAGGGAAAGAGAAATTCGAAGCAAATGATAGGAGAGTGAAAATAGGAAGAAAGAAAACTGAAAAAAACAAGAAAAATGGAGAATCAAACTAGGGAAAAGGAAATTCGAAAAAGAAACAGAGATGAGGGTGTAAAGAGAGAATGAAAGAGAGAGATAGAATGAAAGAGATAACTATGTAAGAAAAGGTAAAGTGACAGAGAAATTAGGAAGAAAGAAAGAAAGCCTGGCAAACTAAGGAGACAAGGGAAAAAGAAACAAACATGAAGGTGTAATGAGAGAAATTATGTAAAAATAAAGTAAGCCTTAGAAACCATGTAAGAAAGTGTAAGAATATAGAGAAATTAGGAAGAAAGTCTTTGAAACCATGTATGAAAGGGTAAAGCGATAGAGATATTAGGAAGGAAAAAAAAGAAGCCCTTAGAAACCATGTAAGAAAGAGTAAATCGACAGAGAAATTAGGAAGAAATAAGGATAAAATTAGAAACCACGTCAGAAAGTGTAAAGAAACAAAGAAATTAGGAAGAAAGAAAGTCTTAGAAATCATGTCAGCATGGGTAAAGCGACAGATAAATTAGGAAGAAAGAAAGGTCTTAGAAATCATGTAAGAAATGGTAAAGCGACGGAGAAATTAGGAAGAAAGGAAAAAAATCTTAGATCCATATAAGAAAGGGTAAAGCGACAGAGAAATTGGGAAGAAAGAAAAATAGCCTAAGAAAGTATGTAGGAATGGATAATAACCAAAGAGAAATTAGGAAGAAAAAAAGGTCGTAGAAATTATGTAAGAAAGAATAATGCGACTGAGAAATTAGGAAGAAAGAAAAACACTTTGAAAGTACAATGTAACCCGGATATAAGAGACCCGGATATAAGAGAAACCCTGATATAAGAGAGATTTTCTCTGGTCCCAAATTAGAGCCTGTGTTAATGTATATATAATAGACCAAACCCGGATATAAGAGACTTCTTCTCCGGTCCCGACAACTCTCTTATATCCGGGTTACACTGTATGTAAGAATGGATAAAGTGACAGAGATATTAGGAAGAAAGAAAGAAAGTCTTAGAAACTATGTATGAAAGAGGAAAACGACAAATTAGGAAGAAAGAAAATCTTAGAATAAATGCAGAAAAGAGTAAATTGACAGCGAAATTAGGAAGAAATAAAGAAAAACGTAGAAACCAAGTAAGAAAGTGTAAAGCGAAGATAAATTAGGAAGAAAGAAAGTCTTTGAAGCCATGTAAAAAAAAGATTAAACAGGCAGAGAAATTAGTTAAAAGAAAAAAATGCTTGAAATCCATGTAAGAAAGGGCAAAGCGACGAAGATTTTAGGAAGAAAGAAAAAAAAAGCTTTACAAAGTATGTAATGATGGATAAAGCGACAGAAATATTAGGAAAAAAGAAAGATTTTAAAAAACATGTTCGAAACGGTTAATCGACAGAGAAATTAAGAAGAAATAAAGAAAGTTTGAGAAACCATGTAAGAAATGGTAAAGCGAGGGAGAAATTAGGAAGAAAGAAAGTCTCAGATCCATATAAGAAAGGGTAAAGCGAGGGAGAAATTAGGAAGAAAGAAAGTCTCAGATCCATATAAGAAATGGTAAAGCGAGGGAGAAATTAGGAAGAAAGAAAGTCTCAGATCCATATAAGAAAGGGTAAACCGACAGAGAAATTAGGAAGAAAGAAAAAAAAACTAAGAAAGTATGTAAGAATGGATAAAGTGACAGAGAAAATAGGAAGAAAAAAAGAAAGTCTTAGAAACCATGTAAGAAAAAGTAAAGCTACAGAGAAATTGCGAAGAAAGAATGTCTTCGAAAAAATGAGTGAATCGACAGAGAAATTAGGCAGAAAGAAAGTCTTTTAAAAATGAGAAAAAAAAGAATACATCGAGAGAGAAATTAGGTAGACCGAAAGAAAAACTCAGAAATCATGTAAGAAATGGTAAAGCGACAGAGAAATTGGGAAGAAAGAAACACTTAGAAACCATGTAAGAAAGAGTTAAGTGACAGAGAAATTAGTAGGAAAGAAGGAAAATCTTAGAAAGTATGTAAGAAAGTGTAAATCGACAGAGATATTAGGATTAATACAAGAAAGCCTTAAAAAGTATGTTAGAAAAGGTGAAGCGACAGATTAATTCGGAAGAAAGAAAATCTTAGAAACCACGTAAGAAACAGTTAGGCGGCAGAGAAATTCGGAAGAATGAAAGTCTTAGATACAATTTAAAAAAGGATAAAGCGACTGAGAATTTAGGAAGAAAGTTGGGAAAACAAGAAAAAAAGAAAGGAACGGAGAAAGTGAGTTAAAATATGAAAGAAAGTTGAAGAAAACGAGTGAAACTAGAAAATGGACAATCAAAGTTGGAAGAAGGAAATTAAAAAAAAAAACAAAACAAAGGGTGAATGAAAGTAGAATAAATAAAATCTTAGAAACCATGAATAAATAAGTAAAGGGAAAGAGAAAGAGATAGTAGGAAGAAACATAGTCGATAGCACAAGGTAAAATAAAATGCGTTGGGAATGTGAAGGAAAGAAAATAGAGGAGAAATGAAAGAATGAAATTAGGTAGAAAAAGTTGAATAAATCAAGGAAGAAAAACACAAGGAAGAATGAAAGGATATTATTACTTATATTAAGACAATTTGATAATAATACACACACACACACACACGTGTGTGTGTGTGTGTGTGTGTGTGTGTGTCTGTGTCTGTGTGTGTGTAAGACTGATAACGAATTCATGATGCATTAACGAAACAGGTAGTTCTGTTCCGGGAACAAACAGACCAAATTTTAGTATTATAAGAATTTATACATGTGGAAATAAATCAATTTGATAATCACGTTTTTATTCAGCAACAATTGGTCGTAAAAATTATTTTTTTTCCATATTCTCAAAATTTTCGGCTTTGGAGATTTTTATTGAAAGTTTGAATTAAATAATGAAAAATGACTTAAATTTATAAATTTAAATAAGAAAATTATCAGCTATAAAATAAAAGACACAAGATGAATGCACAATTCTGAAAAAAAATGAGAAATGCAGAAAAACGAAACTAAAAAATGACAAATGCAGAAAAACGAAACTAAAAAATGTGAAATGCGGAAAAACGAAACTAAAAAATGAGAAATTCAGAAAAACGAAACTAAAAAATGTGAAATGCCGAAAAACGAAACTAAAAAATATCGGTGAAAGGGAAATAATATAAATGAAAAGTTCTTAAAAAGCGTTGGAGATTGAAAAGACAAGAATTATTTAAAACAAATTAGAGAAAGTGAGAGTAGAACTAAATGAAGAACAATTAAATAGAGAAAGAGAAAGATTTTAAGTAATTCTGGAAAGTGAAGCAACGAAACGGACAGATAGATAGATAGATAGATAGATAGATAGATAGATAGATAGATAACGAACAAACTGAGATAGATAGATAGATATATAGATAGATAGATAGATAGATAGATAACGAACAAACTGAGATAGATAGATAGATAGATAGATAGATAGATAGATAGATAGATAGATAGATAGATAGATAGTAGATAGATTTGAACAAATTAAGAATAACAAAGAAAGCTTAGGGTAAATAAAACTAAGTCCTTGTTCGAAAATAAAAGAATATAAATATATGAATAAACTTAAAAGAAAAATGAAAGAAAGAAAGAAAGAAAGAAAGAAAGAAAGAAAGAAAGAAAGAAAGAAAGAAAGAAAGAAAGAAAGAAATGTTCAACAATAAAGATGGTGTATTTTTCGCGATCAATTATGGCGGAGGTATTAAAATTAACTGTTGCTTACTGCTGATGGATATATTCCGGAACAGTTTCCTGTAGTATATACACACAGTGTGTTTCCCAGGATGGGAGCAAAAATGTTTCCTCTTCATAAAAAAAAACAAATTAAAAGAGAAATCACACAATAGAAACTCCTGCCACCTGGCGAGTGTCAAAGGGGAGATAATAATTGACATTTAGGTTGTTTAATTGACTGATTGCTTGCTTACAGGATCTTATTTTTATTCATTTATAACAATGTGTTTTCATGCGATGATTATTTATTTATCATTATTCCTTTCGTTGGTATTGACTTCTTGGCCCAGTAACAATAAACTGAAAATCCGTTCTACGCAGAATTTACTCAATAACTAAATCCCCTCTGCCTACTACATGCAACAGTCGATAATCTGGTATAGTTTTTCTTAAATAGAATTGTATGATCTATAAATAAATATTATATGTTGGGTTGGAATAAAATTTAATAGCGTTTTCTAAATTAATTTCAATGACAATATTTACATATGTGTACACAAATTTATTCATCCAAATTAGCGGCATTTTGTTCCATTAATATTCGCCATCTTTGCAGCAGTTTCATGATTCTAATCTTTCAGATCAATTGATCAAAATGTTTTTTACAGACTTCCAGAGAATTGAAGTCCTTCCCATTATAAGAATTATGTAGGGACCGAAATAAGTGGTAATTCTAAGGTGCAAGATGAGGTGAGTTAGCCGGATGCAGTTTAACATCTTAACCAAGTTGTACCCTTTTCTGCTAATTCTGTATCAGTTGATACCTTTAATTGGACCAATTGGGAAAAGTACTTGTCTGGATTCAAATCCTGATTTTTCGAAAAGAGCTCATAATACAAAATGCCCTTTCAATCAAACCCACCGGATATACATAATCACTTTTATTTAATGCATCCCAGTTTTTGGAGTTGTTAATAATGGTATATTTCGTTTTTACTTTTTTGCTCCACATTATTGTAAACAAGTCATTTTTCCTCGCCTGTCATCGTTCTTTTCAAAATTGGATCGTTTTTGTTGCATCTGGGTAGATAATCGCAGATGAAATGCAATACATTATATCAGTTTCCTTCAAATCCTGATGCACCCAAATGTTGTCTAGATTTAGGTATCTACTAGTCTTCAAATGCCTTAGAACACTCTTATGAGATATGCGATGCCACGTGTCGGAACCTTCTCAGTGTTCAAGATCAAATTTTCCACTTCTGGGCATCTTGAACACTACTCTCAGCTACAACACAGACTCCAGAAACAGCACTTATCATTTTTGGTGTTTCTAAAGCGTTTTTCCTCTTCCGGAAATCAAAGATCCTCTTATGACAAAAATGTATTTCATTTTCTTTCATTTTCACTTTCAATATAAAGACATTTAAAATTCACAATTCACAGAGAAGACATATTAAAAGTTTTTTATACAATTTTGTATTGTGAAATTGCTTTTACATGTACGTGAATGAAAATATCTCGGCCGGAATCCGATATTTTGTAAGATTTTGGAATATGGCTCTGGTCAAGAACTTTTCAGCACAACCAATATACAAACTTGAACACATATTTTACAGAACGTTGTTCAAATCCCGGCCTTGGCTATTGAGTTGACTTTCACAAATGAATCCATAATTTCATTTCGCCCAAATGCGTTTCGAAAAAACATGAAGCCATTTTGTCTCCCCGATCCAAGTATGGCTTTCTAGAATTGAGTAGCAACCCGGCTTGGCGAAGATCTACTCTGCATTCAAAACCACTCCAATACCT